ATTCAAGAGTAATTCTCRCTTTGAGGGGATATCAGACTGTCATTTTATATGTGGGTCTCCATAACCTAGAGATCTGATTCATCCTGCATTTCAGACTCCACCTGAGAAAAAGCTGATRGATTTTAATGAAGAAAAGCCTCTTTAAAGCTCTAACTTAGACACCTGCTCAGCTAAACTCTCTAACTCAATTGGTGCACCCCTCAGCCCCAGAAGTCACAGGAAAAGGGTGATTGTTGGGAGGTTTTGAATGTTAAATATCCAGTCGGGTCATTGCTTATAGTTCAGTTTCTAACTGTCTCTGGATATGAGACTTCTGTATCCATCTCTAAAATTCAACCTGTAGCACAATAATTCAATTTAGGTAAAACCTTTTAACAATGTCACATGTATTTAATTTCATATATACATCCATATCATGGTTATTTTTAATGTAGAGCTATGGAATACTCCATAGCTGCACTTATCTAAAAGGCTGCTGACTCTGGATTGATTTCTTTAGTAAATTTTAATAGACATAATATAAAGCACTTCCTGGCACAATTTTTCTTCAGAGAGATACTACTAGAATTTCATTGAGAGGATGGGGATGTTTAGAATCTGGCATTAATAGCTGATACTAAACTACTATGTTGTCTGAAACTTTACAATGAAATAGAATTCCTGGGAGGAATATTYCAAAATATCCAGGGATGGGTGTACAGTATAGAAATGCTGTAATCTCTCCTGTTAATCTCATGAAATAGCAGAAGTGAGATTCACCCAGCTGGGGGTCTCACAGTAAAGAAAGCCTCACCATTAAATTCACCAGAAGAACCAGACCAGACTCTAAGTAATGAAAACATGTGCTTGTATTCTCRTATGGCCTAATTTTTTAATTCCCATTTCTCTACTTACACACCAAAMAAAAGCTTCTAACCTGTTTTGCTGAAGAAGCAAGGTGAAACAGTTATATTAATGCAAAATAAAGCCAGGATTCAGGCCCAATGTCCATCTAGTCCATCGTCTTGCCCTGAAAAATGTATTATTTTACACGTGCATGAAAAGAATTCTTCCTCACATATAACATTCAGTGTATGTCTTTTCTTGTGGTTCTGCTTAGCAGCAGCTTTGTCTTACCCTGTTAGGGACAATGTAAGACAAGTACTGCACCCACTTTGGAGATTCTGAGTATTCCTGACTTCTCTAGTGTAAAACAAAGTAAAATCCATCTAATCACTTCTGTGATTCATTCATCTCAGTTGTTCTCTTCTTCAGTTCTYCCCTGAAAAGAGGAAAACCCTAATATTTCCTCAATTTCTGAGGTCTCTAAACCTAAACTCTTTATGAGAACAATGAATTCAGCTTCCCTATGTAAAAATGCTACATGTAAAAATGCAGCTAGTTTTCATTATGAAAAAAATCCTATTAAAAATATCTTATATATATCTGATGAAATGGTTAATAATCCCTATGTAAACAGTTTTGGAAATTCACACAGGTGTGGAAAGCACGGGATGAAGTCTATATAAAAATGAAATAATGTCATTATTTTATGCAAGTTTTAAAATGCCATGAACCTWATTGTGTATTCAGTTCTATTGCAATTTTCCATAGAAGTTTAGTGAACATTGCATTTATGTTTTCACGTATCATGACATACAATGTTGTCCACCAGTGCAAAACAATGCATACAATGAGCAAAACAAACATTAACTCAATTTTCATTTTTAATGTCTGATCCTTACAGAGATGTCAATGGTGAGACTCATTTATTTCACTGAGGCAAGAGCAAGACCTAAGCAGGCAGTAATGTGCCCTTCAGCTTCATATTGACTCAGTTCTGTTCAGTTAACACACTTTTCCATTGCTGTRACAATTTTAAAGCATTTATTCTGTAAATAGTCAGCTTTCATGCAAACAGTCCATTAGCATTAATCATATGATTCTCACATACATTGACAAAAAAAGTGCTGTATTTCTCTTGTCTTATTCTTATTCATGATAAATGAGTAGTCGGTAAGAAATGAAAAATAACAATTTAAAAAGAAGATTAGAACAACTGATCTTTTGACACTTTTCATCTCTGGTCTGAAATATGAAAAGCCATATTCCAAATGTGGAGGATGATGTTTCTGTCGATGAAAATATAAGTCTTTGCCTACTTTATCACTGATCCTGTTGCATAAATTAGCATTTACATTTCCTGATAATCTTCTCTTTGGACAATCCTGAAGAATGCCAACTAACTGGAGTACAAATGTGCAACTACATCAAAATAATTAAATGAACTGAGTTATTTGCATTAAGTACTATAAACAGTTACTTTCTAAATATTACCTTAGAATTTTAAGATATTGAAATCTTATAGCTTTCGAGACATGCATCTTCACTAGAGTTTGACTGAAAACTGCTATGCAGCCACTAGAAAAAACTTGCATTAGGGCTTCTGCCTAACAAGAAATCACACTGAACCCGAACCAAAGCCCAATACAAGTTTTGTTCTTTCAAGTTGAATTTGCTCTGTATCAAGCCTTTTGCACACCATCTCCCATTTCTTCAACATTAAAAGAGTGCTTATGATTGTCAAAGAATATTTTTCCTTTCAATATCATTCAAAATGAGATTTTGAAAGGCATCCCAGGACTCTGCAAAATGAAAATCAGACTTGGATTTGTGTGTCAAATAATAATCTTCAGAAGCTTGTTATTTTGCAGATGGAGATTTTAGCTGCCATGTTGTCCTTCTAAAAATAACATGCAGTTTTCCAGTGAGCATGCAGTCAACTAGCAATATCAGTGTGCGTTTTTATCATGAAGAATCATATGAGAAATCCATCTTTAGAGGTTTCTATAATCAAATCAGGAAAACTCTTAAATTTATACATAAGGAAAAATATTTTTTAAAATCTTTAAAAACATACACATCTCAAAGTCCTTTAATGTTTCACAGTGGAAGAAAAAAGACAACAGATGAATGTGATAATGGATAGACTATCTAAGAATTAATCAACATTATTTAAAGTGACAATGCTGGCAAACGACAAGAATGGAATGTTAAGGTATTTATTGTAAGCCAAGAGGAAAAGATTTATATGCATCATCTCCAAGCCAATATATAATAAAACCCATTTTCAGGCTTGACACAAAATACAATCAAAAGGCCATTTGTGACTCTGAGCCCATGTCTCCTTCTTATGTTATAAAGTACCCCAAATTTTCCAGCACCATTTTGGCCCTTTTCTTTAAAGGGCAGATACTATTTAATTAGAAATGCACTTGTATGTTTTTTAGTCCTGATCCAACTCCTACTGTTGACAGAGAAATATTTTCTGTTGAATTCAGGAGGAATTTTTAAAAATGTAAAAAAAAAAATCATTAAGTAAAACTTAGTATTCTATTCTGCATTAAGATGATTACTGTTAATAGCGATTCATTTGAGACTGCCCCAGTGGCTTACCAGTAAGTTGATGGGACATGAACAACGCATTTTTTAAACCAGCTGTAAGGCAGAAAAGCTGAGGTTACTGGCTGGATTCCCTGATGAAAAGCTGCAATTGTTTCATTTATAGGTAAATGTATTCTGGCTATTCCTAGAGTGACCTTGGCAGCCAACTGCGATGCCCTCAGTGTCAGCAGAAAGAAGGCTGTTGGTGTCAGTGGGCTTTGGATCAGGCTTTGAAGACAGAGGAAGCTTGCTTAAGGAGGAAAACAGACATAAAAAACAGTCCTGATTTCCCAGGTTTTGTCACTTAGAGTTTAGAATACCAACAGACATTTTAAGCCCTGAAGAACAGTTGTTGTAAGTCAATTATTTTGACCCTGTAAATTTTTTTACAATTCTATACAAGAATAAAGAGGAACAAATCTCTCTGGCTTACAAAAAAAAAAAAAAAAAAAAAAAAAAAAAAAAAAAAAAAAAAAAAAAAAAAAAAAAAAAAAAAAAAAAAAAAAAAAAAGGCAAGTACTTTATTTATCAATAGATATTTTAGCCGCTTTTTACACCATTGCAATGACTAAATAAATAGCATAAAATAAACAAAGGAGAGTATAAAATCATTTCATTCCAGCTGGTATCCCAAGACAACCTTTTGACTAAGTACAGAGTTAGATGTTTCAAGTATGGCACTTATATAAATAAGAGCAGAGAGAAGATGATATATTCACAGTTAAATGCAATGAACTCTCTTCCTTTGGTATGTGTGTCATCATAGGTGATTGTAGGTAAATTAATAACTTGGCTGGCATGAACAAATTCCATCTTATTCATGCACATTTTAGGGAATCAATAAAAATGTGCTGATATATTCTGCAGATCACAACTAATATAAGATGATTAAGGTCTCTGGTGTGCGTGTGTGTGTGTGTATGTGTGTGTGTGTGTGGACAGGCAAACAAAAAATGGCAAAATTATATTCAGCATTTATTTTTAGTGTGACTAGTTGATGCACAAACCATGATAGAAAATCGCTAGTAATACACACCAGGAATAAAGTCTGCGACTTAGACGAACAAAATAAGACATCTGTGAGATCCTAGAACGCAGATATCCTGATTGAGCTGTGGTTAGGTTCCTTATGGTGCTCTTACCCTCCTTTTGAAACATGCTTATGCCTGCACATTACAACAGTGTCCCCCACCCCACCCCGCCCCATATAGAGTATCCTTGCAGAGTTTTTGATATGGACATTCTACACATTTACAACAATTAGTCAGACARTTCAAACTGTAAACATCCTAATGACGATCAAAAAGCTGCTTCACTGACAGATAAAACCCAATCATTAGAAAGAAAAGTAGGAATAATAGTAGCTGTGCTGTAAGGCTAGGTCAAGCATGGTTTCATAGCTGTTTTTTCAGTCTTTTATATAGCGCTGCATTTTGCAGCTAGTTCAGTAAGTGCAGATCCAATACCTTAATGGCTTTCTTGGTGGTTTGATAAAATGCTTGCCTAAGCAATGTACCTTTCTCTAATGGTATCTGGGTCTGTTCCACCTGGCACAGTGTTTCAGTTCTGTCACAGCCTCACACATAAGCTGAGTCACTTGACTGAGTCCTGCCGAAGTTAGGCATGCTCATTCTTGGCAGGTCCTTATTTCTGATTTCGTATATGGATTTCCTTTTTGCCTGTACTCCTCTCACTGCCATTTTGATCTTTCTCCAGCCCAAGTGGTTCAGTTCTGCCAAATTAAGCACCACACAAATCCCACTGACAGCAAACATGAATACCAAGAACACCGTCTTCTCAGTGGGTCTAGAGACATAGCACTCTACTTCTTTAATGCAAGGGTATCTGTCACATTCGTACATGGAAGGGACATTGAATCCATACAGAAAATACTGTCCCACTAGGAATCCAATCTCTAGGGCATTTCGAAAGACCACTTGGATGATATAAAATCGAGAAATGCCTTCTTGCCTCCTCATCTTTGACTTTGTAGTTCTGATAGCAGGATTGGGGATTTCCTTCACTTCTAAGCAGTCTGGTTCTGCCTCTTTGGTGGAGTTCTCAGTGTTTTGCAGCACCCCATTGACAATCGTGTTCTTGATTTTCTTACTGTCCTCACGCTTCATTGAATCCTGGTCCCTTTCCAGGGTAAGGAAGACAGTGGAGTACCTCCGTTCCCTTTGTTTAGCAGACTGGTGAACGGAGTACGTTATGAAGCACAGGCTGGGAGTGCACACCATGATGATCTGGAACACCCAGTACCTTATGTGAGAAATGGGGAAAGCCTGGTCATAACAAGCCTGGTTGCAGCCTGGCTGCAGCGTGTTACACACAAACATCGTTTGCTCGTCATCGTACACCGTCTCCCCTACAATGGCCACAATGAGAATTCTGAAGATCACCACCACGGTCAGCAGGATCCTGCAACAGAGAAGCCCGTCAGTGCGCGCCGCCGCCGCGCGGCCGGGAGCTGTCCAGTGCTGACCGGGCCACCGCGCCGCGGAACCACGGACCGGCCCCGGCTCCGGCCCCGGCACGGGCACCGGCCCCGGCACCGCCAACCGGCCCCGGCACCGCCAACCGGCCCCGGCACCGCCAACCGGCCCCGGCACGGCCAACCGGTCCCGGCACCTCGGAGAGGCCCGGGTCCCGTGCGGGGGGCGCGCAGCTCCCTCGCTGCGGCCGTGCGCCTCAGACCGCGGGCGGCGGTCAGCGCTGTCCCCCGCCCGGCCCCCGGGAGGAAAGGCGGTCACACGGGCTCCGGGGCCCCCGGGAGTGCGGGCGGGAGAGGCGCGGTGCTGCGCCGGCAGCGGAGCCCCGATAGCGGTAGGGTGTCCCCGACGACCGGCCGGTGCCCCGCGGCTCCTCGGGGACAAGGACGGCRGCGTTTGCTGTGTCCCCGCGCCTCTGTGCCCCGTGCCGCATACCAGCTCCCCAGCACACACGCCACACGCACACACACACCGCGGACACGCGAGCTCCGGGCTCAGCCCGAAARAGCCTGTCCGAAGGGCACCGCACAGCTGGGACCCACCGTGCGCCGCCGACCCCCCGGCCGGCCCGCTCGGGCGGGAGGGGATCCCCCCCGTGCTCCCCGTAGCTCTSCCGCGACCCTTACCTCCCTATCATAGTAGAATGCTGCTGCACGGCAGCTTCCAGTAGCCTCTCTAGAATAGTCCATTCCCCCATCGCTGTTCATCCGGAGACAAAGACTTTGGCAAGCGTAGGGGATCTCTTCACTTCTGCCTTTTTTCACCCCTCCTATTTTTTTTTTTTTTATTTTTTTCTCAGGGGGAGGGAAAACAAACAGAAGAGCAGCCTGTCTCTACCGCCCGCAGTCCGGTGGCGGGAGGGCGGCTGCAGGCGGCAGCCCTGCCGAGGGTTCCCGGCTCGGCTCGGCTCGGCTCTGCCGGACTCGGGGCCGCTCGGCGGCCGCCACCGGCCCGGCCAGCTCGGCTCGTGGCGCGGCGCGGCGGGCGGACCGGCAGCGTGGAGGAAGGAAGGTTGGCTTTAATGTCTTGCTGCCTCTAATCTGCCTTTAAGTAGTCTCCGCTTGCGTCACTGACAGGTTGGTGGAGAGCAGCCAAAAGCAGCGCTCGGATTTTCTCATTTTTATTATTCCAGTGAATACAAAAAAATAAATGCAATAAAAATAAATAAAATAAATAAACGGAGGAGGAGGAGGAGAAGGGAGGGCGGAGGAAGAGCTGCCCCGGCAGGCGGGAGGCTCACAGTGCAACCGAGTGCCCCCTTGCCGGAGCGCCCCGGCCGGGTACCCGCTGCCCCCCCGCCCGCCGGCACTCCCCGCGCCCCGCCCGGGAGCGCAGCCCCGCCAGCACCGGGCGCTGCCCTCGGCTGCCCGCTCCGAACGCTGCTCTAGGGCGGCACTGTGACACCGTGGCCCTCCAGCCACGGACTCCTGGCTGGGGATCCCCGGGGTTGGGCTTTGCCTCTCTCCTAGAGATCAAAACAGCAGTATCATACAGCAGTGACCTTTCCTGTTAGAACTGCCAACCCTTGAAAGATATTAAAATTGCATCTTTATTCTCCCCTGATTATAGTTATAAGTTTCTTCACTGCGGAGAAATGAAGCATATATATAGCCACTTCAGAGAACTCTGAGGCTAAGATAATATTTATGCTAGAAAAGACATCAATGCTTCATTCAAAGCATCTCTAAACAGTACAAGAAAAAAGTATCTTGAATAAATCCCTGCATTATAATCAGTCCACATATTTTGTTCCTATAAACAGCTGTGTTTAAAATAGTTTTTTTCATTTTACAGACACCCTTACAGACTGTGCCTGAGATGTCACAAAATATTTCCACACAAAACATTGGCACCAATTGGAATTGAGTTCTCCAGTGAAAAAGTGTAAAATGTATTCTTGTATTCTGTGTATTTACATAAAAATCAAGTGAGCCTTCACACCTGCTGTTCTTCTTGTTCAACTAATCTCATTAAATAAGAACATAAGAAAAATTCTGGTCGGTCTTATTGTAATATTCCTACTGTCAAACTCAGTAAAATCAGACTTTAAAAAGCAGAACAGTGTAGCCCTTTTTTTTTCTTTGCAGCTCTCTCATAAACCATGTTTTATTCCATGTTATATCAAAGATGTTATGTGTTTTCTGAATGAATGGGACCATGCTTCATGTATGCAAGGCCTCTGTATGCTTTAGACACCTCAAGGTTTGTTGTCTTTTCGTTTGGACTATGCAGATGGTTTCTGATTCACGTGATACTGGGTTAGTTCACCGACTGATTTAGGCAAGTATCAAACAAGAGAGGATCAGTGAATATCTCTACACAGAAATTGGTAGATTTTTCTTCTCTCCCAGTCACAAGTCTTTGGCTTTTTGTATATAGTTTCTAAAAATTGCTGCTGCAATAACACCAAAGATAAAAAGAAGGTGTTGGGATTTGATTTGGTTTGGTTTCTTTTAAGAGGACAGTGGTATCTACCCTGACAACCGAGTGCCTCATACAGACTGAAAGTATCTGTTTGGAGATGAATGTGAAAATGAGAGAAATCAAAACAGTATGGGAAGCAGTACGTAGAAGGAGGGAGGACAGAGAACATGTTAAGAAGCTATGATGATAATCCTAATCAGCAAACCAAACAGCGGGGAAACCCGTGATTGAAGTTACTGAAGAGAGGAGAGAATATTTTTTTCCGGGACAAATAAGAGAATTTCTAAAAAGGAAAGCTGTTCCCTGGTACTGGCATAGAAAACCCATTTATCTGAGTTTTTAGGACCCTTAAATGAAACGGAATTATGTTCTGATCATATCAAACACAGGTCTATGAGTGAAGAGTTAACCAGTGTTTGCTATGTTCCTGACAGCTCAGTCATGAAGACAGGGAGGAGAAATATCATAAATGAATGCTGCAAACATATAAACATGGTTACTAAATTGATTTTGATTTAATTGTGGTTCAAAGTTAAATTCGTTCTCTTACAGGAGTTGCACCTCATTCTGGAATACTTGACTGGTCTTTTCTTAGCAGTAACCTCATACGCCACCCCCCAATTGTATTCGGATGTAGGATACTTGCCCTTCCGCTTGAGAAAATTTACAGACCTTCAGGCCTCAGTGAGTTTGGAAAAAAAATAATTTCARTGAGAGTCTCTTTCACGAGGCCAACATTTTAAGCGACTAGAAAATTCAAAGGAGGTTGCTTTATCTCAAACTTGTATGGTTTCTGAAGTTATGAGTTTCCGTCCTTAATCTGAGGCCTGACTTGCTGTCAAAATAGAAATCATAAGAATCAACATGACATTCTCTGAATGTTTAACACAATGGTGAAAGGTGTGTGCAGAATGTAATTAACTGCATTTCCATTATCCATTATGTGAACAACAGCAACCTGTGGGCTTACCTGACAAATTATCTAAATCACAAAGTGCTCAGACTATGTATAGTCACGACTGTAAGTTGTAGACGTAAGAAGATTTTCAGCTTCTAAAGGTTCACCTTAGTTTTTACACCATTCCCTGGAATGCTTCAGCCCATGGTAAAGCCAGGATTTGCAGAGCAGCAGGCTGCCAAGGATGCTGTGGAGGTATATTGCACAGTGCACCTATTCAGATTAGAAAACCCTGTCTATGTTTCATTCACAAGCATTCAGGATTATCAAAGCTTTATGTCTCCTGGCTTACAAAGAACTGTTTCCTAATGAAGCAGCAATAACAGTTTGTAACAGGGTCAGGCCTGTCTTGTTCAATGTTTTTATCAGTTGCATAGAAAGGAAACAAAATCAGCTTGCTATTCCACACATAGGCTTTAGGGTGGTAGGGTATATTTTTGTTGTTCTTGCTTTGCATTCAAAGAGAATGATTATTCCTGTTCAGTACAAATTCAGTATAAACTCTGTCATTCCTAACAGGATCTCAAACAAGCTTTGCAAAAAGAAATTTCAGTCTGCGTGCATTCAAAGATGCCAGTGCCGCAACATTAATTTCTGATGAAATAATATAGACTAAGTTGATCTTGGATTAGGTCTGAAGAATGAGACTGTATGTGTCCTCAGTTTGAAGCCAAACTGAGGTTAATCTGTCTGTAAGAAGCTGTAGGCCAGATTCTCTCTAAGAAATCCAGCCCTTTTGCCCTGATCTGGTTTTGTAAAGGGTCTGGAGGGCAATCAAATCTCGCAGAATGTGCACTCCTCAAGTATGGAGCAGAACAGACCGGGAGCAAAATTGACAGATCTGACTTGTCTGTCAGACCCCCTGCAACCTGGACATGGATGACCTGACTGGGGCAGGATGAGGTAGCCACATGGCTAGTGCTGTCAGACAGTGCACTAAACAGTGATATTCCCCTGCCTCATTGCTTTCTGTGAGCTTTACAAATGTAAAAACACAGTACAGATCTTACATGGGCCTTACCCACTTTCCGCCTCCCTTTAAAGTTATACATTCATTCTAAATTTATTCCAAATATTTTATCTTAAAATAAATCAGATAAATTATTTGTGACTGCATTTTCTAACTAGTGTCACAATAGAGAGATTTTTCAGCATTACTTTTATAAAGCATTAGAACATTCTTTGGAAGACTGATATGATAAATGTTTCGTTTTTGATAGTATTTGGTATAGACCATGAAATCTAAGTCATTAGCTACTAAACTGAAAATGCCTTTTTAAGACCTTTCATAGCCATCTGCTATACTCTGTTTTCATTTGGTGCCATGTGTGTATTAATGAAATGATTGCATCAGATTAAATCTTTTATTCATAAAATCATCTAGGTCATCTGCTCCTACCTACACTTTCTCATTAAAATGAGCATTTGTGTGTATGTTCACTCCCCACTACCTAAGTACAATTCTAGCTTCAGTTAGCTGCTATATGCAGATCTTAAAAAGAAATCCCTATCTGTGACTTTTTCTCAAATGGAATTCTCTCTAAACACAACTCTAGTTTAACACAGCAGAGAAAGTGTCTTTTCCCTGCAGTTTAAAAAGTACTACTTCCCAAAAATTGCAGGATTTGGATGTACTAATGACCTCAATCCTTCTCAAGAGACAGCAACRTTGCGAGAAGACTCATTTTGCTGCCAAGAAATGGGTAGCACACCCTTCCCATCCAGTCAACAATGTTTGTGTCAGAGCTGCCARCCATGGGGTGAGAGCTTGTGGTCCTTGTGGTGAGCAGGGAATGGAGCCTGGATTTATGTACTTTGTGCTTGACAGTAGCAGTATCAAATGCACAGAATTCAGGGCTTCCTGTAATGCATGAAGAGACAAAACACTCAGTTATCCTAATAATCAAATTAAGACTATTATGCATCGGAGGTCCATATCTACAAATGAAGATTGCTATAAATGGAAAGCTTTTCAGGAAAACAATGAATGTAATCAGTGAAGAAGGAATAGATCTATGAATAGTCATGAGCTTTGAAAGTGAGGGTTCATAAGTCATGTTGAAGTTCCATAACTATTCTTGCAGAGGGGTGGGGGGCTACATAAGAAATACTCACAAGAGGGGCAGGTAGTAGGTAAATATTCCACAATCTTCTGTAAGGGAATTTAAAACATCTCAATGTAACTGCTTTACCTAGAAAATAATTTTTAACTATGATGCTTTCCTAATTACAGAATATTTTATTTCCTGACAGAAAAAAAATCACCCAAGTTTTATGGGGCTCTTGTAAGCGCTCCACAGGGACCTTTCTATGCG